TGTCAATGATGGGACACAAGATACGGGTCCTGCCCTGGAGTACATTCAGACTCAACCTATCGGTGACGAGTCCTTACAACGCGGACTTCGACGGCGACGAAATGAATCTTCACGTCCCGCAGAGTCTCGAGACTCGGGCAGAGATGGAACAGTTGGCAATGGTGCCCAGGAATATCATTACACCGCAGAGTAATAAACCCGTGATGGGTATAGTGCAGGACACACTCACCGCTGTCCGCAAAATGACAAAACGGGATGTGTTTTTAGAAAAGGAGCAAATGATGAATCTATTGATGTTTTTGCCCATTTGGGACGGAAAGATGCCAATGCCTGCCATTCTGAAGCCCAAACCCTTGTGGACGGGGAAACAGCTGTTCTCACTGATCATTCCCGGACCCGTTTCTCTCATCCGAAACCATTCAACACATCCGGACGAAGAAGACGACGGGCCCTACAAATGGATATCTCCGGGCGATACCAAAATCCTTATAGAACACGGGGAACTCCTGTCTGGTATCGTGTGCTCTAAGACTGTGGGTAAAGCCGGCGGTTCTATAATGCATGTCGTTTTCAACGAAATGGGACACGAAATCTGTGGTCACTTTTACGGACACATCCAGACTGTGGTCAACAATTGGCTTCTACTCGAAGGCCATAGCATTGGTATCGGCGACACATTCGCTGATCCGGCGACATATGAGGTTTTGTTAACTATTGGTTTAAACTTTAATTAGTTTTTAACTAAAGCTGTGTTTTGTCTAAATTGTATGCGAATTGACAGGACATTCAAGAGACGATCAAAAAGGCCAAACAGGATGTGATAGAAGTGATCGAAAAGGCCCACAACGACGAGTTAGAGCCGACGCCCGGCAATACATTGCGTCAGACATTTGAGAATCAAGTGAATCGTATTCTGAACGACGCCCGCGACAAGACCGGCGCCTCCGCACAGAAGTCACTCTCAGAGCACAACAACTTCAAGTCAATGGTCGTGTCGGGCGCTAAGGGATCGAAGATTAATATATCGCAAGTTATCGCTTGTGTCGGCCAACAGAACGTCGAGGGAAAGCGTATACCGTTTGGGTTCCGGAAGCGAACTCTTCCGCACTTTATTAAAGACGATTACGGACCGGAGTCCAGGG